AGTACCTGATAGTATAAGGAGATCAGCTGATTTCCCCCCTTCTTCAGCGAAGTCTGCTGAAAAACACCAACAATAACTTAGGTTCTGCTTTTGATTTTTAAAATTCTGAATGGGTAGGTTAGCTAATATCTAAAATAAGAACAAAAAAATTTATATGTGTCACCCCCACAAAGCAGAGGCTTCTATTTGGTATCTATGTATATCTGACAGAATTCAACTTAGATGAGGATTTTCCATTCACTTACATGTCCGGCACAGTAGCCGGGACCTTATCCATAAAAGAGGAACATAACTGGGCTTTCACTCCTGCCAATTTATTTTTCTTATTTTCTATGAAATTTCACAGCTTTTCTACTGCTGTCTATCCGTTGTTTGCTGCTGCAGCTGGTAGCAAATAGATTATACTGCCAGCTGACCTCGACTCAACACATGACATTATATCTAGTGGATACCTTATCTGAAACAGAGCCAACTTCATTCGAGCCCAGCTTAGTAAGCACTGATTGGGATGGGTCTGCTGAGTGCCCCATTCCTGAATGAATTTATATAAGAAAGGTCCCATTAACTAGGCATGGTAGACCACCGGGGGCTGAGGCCATTGTGTGGTTTGGTAGTTTGTGACATCCCTTTCCTAATCCATGAAATTTAATTATGACCTTGGTCCATCCTTTGCATTTAGCTTTAACACTGGCAAAAAGGTGGACACTTAGGAGTGCATTTATGGGAATTTGGATAATTCTTCCAGAAGTGCATATGTGAGGTGACACACTGAAGTTGGGTGACAAGGCTTTCCTCTCAGTTTCTGCTCTATTTTATCCCAAAAGGGCTTTTGGGTTGAGGTAAGGGCCCTGTGCGTGCAAGTCATGTTCATACATCAGACGCACACACAGTCAGACAAGTACTGTTGTCCTAAAAAACCAAGATTCATCCATCAGATTTTCAGATGGAGAAGCAAGACTCATCACTACAGAGAATGCATCTCCACTGCTCTGGTGTCCAGTGGTGGCATGCTTTACACCGCTGCATCTGACATTTTGCATTGGACTATGGCAGTGATACAGCTGTTCAACCAAAGAATCCCATTCCATGAAGATCTGCACACTGTTCTGCAGCTAATCAGAAGATCACATTAGGCGAGGAAGTGTGTCGTGATTGACCCTGCTGCAAGCTGGCAACTTATTTGCACTTTGTGCTTCAACATTCACTGACCCTGCTCAGTCATTTCACGGGGCCAAGTTGGTGTCTTACACTTTCACAAGTATTTTTGTTGCACAGGCGGGATCCTATCGGAGGAACAACAATATTTGTTAGTTTAAAAAAAAAATTATATATTTTTTAAAACAAAGCGGAGTGTGTATGAGGTCACCCGCGCGCGCAGGCTACCATTCACTCATCCTGTCCGCTGAACTGCTGCTAGTTTTACTCACATGCCTGGAAGATGTCTAGTGCTTCTACCACAGATGCTCTCGAAATGATTAGCTAGCCAAATTAATAGAAGGGGTAGAGCATAGCCTCCTGTGGCCCGGGGTGCCCGTCACGCTTCTTTTTTTTTTTTAAATATAAATATAAAAAAAAATAACCGCGGATGTCTGGGGGACAGTTATTCGCCTACATGTTATGAATGCTGGCGTGCCATAAATGATATATTATGAACAGTTTAGTTTGTGCCTTCAACTCGTTGCCCATAGGAAGACGCTACTTGGATATAACCTAACGGAATATCTTCAGAACAGCTCCAAATGACACAAAACTAATATGGGTGAGTAGAACATGATGTAATTACGTAAAATCAAGGGCCCAATGTAAAAACAAAATGGTGTTCCCCTTTAAATGATTGTTTTAAGAAATTTTACACTTGAAAAACTTACAAGATTTTAATATACCCACCAACCATCAACAATTTCAAAGGAACTTAAGGGGGGGGGGGGGGATAAAAACAATAGCAAAAAATCTGATTTTATTACTAACTGTAGCTCTGCAGTAGGTGATGACATGTTCACATGGAGCCTCATGAACTGTGGGGATCGTTTAAGCAATTTGGCCAAAGGGTTCAGTGCCTCATGGAGCTCCATCTCACCATCACTACTGAAAACAAACACCATATATAGGAGCTAGAAACAGGTGGATAAGATAAGCGGTAATGAGAAACTGGGTAGAGTTAAACATGTGAACGAAATGAGCAATCAAGCCAGCCACCCACGCCAGGAAAATGACTCATCATAAAATCCTTCTTGAAAAGGTGCTAGGGTTACCTACACGTTTTAAATGACTGAGAGTCACGTGGGTATGGCTCAAAAAATGTGGTTTAGCCTGTATTTTCTGGTTTCCAAAAACAGTAAGTATGAGTAAAGGTTTTTAAGCAGAGCAAAGGCTCAGGTAAACAATAATCACTTGTCTTTAAAGGCTTAATTTGATAGCACAACTAAAAAGATTCAGTCTACTTCCCCATTTGTACTTTAAATACTTTGTTAACTTAAAAGAGGGCCAAGAGATTAATATTGCTTTTTTTAATTATTATTTGGAACAACTGCACATAAACATGTTTTTATTTTAAACATTAGTTTTATAAGTCTTGTTATAATAAAAATTTCCTTTGTTTTTCGGCCCATTGGTTGTGAGCAGTAAATAAAAAAAAATACGTCCCTGAGTACAGTGAAATATTGAGATTTGTGCAGATTAAAAACTAAAGAAGAATAACTCACACATACACTACCAAGTAAGAGGGTCTTTACACTTTTAATTCATCAGAAATCTTCATTTTATAATTTTTTATAACTTTATATACTATGTTTATTCTTCGCTGCCTGAGATGTTAAACTTACAATTTCCAGTTTTATGAAAAGGTTTTGGTGTAATTTTGCTAAATGATTTATTGAAAAGAAGCTGACTTCCTTTTATATTTTGTGTGCAATGAAAGCTTGTTGTTCTAAGCAAAACAAGAGCAAGGAGTTGTATTTATTTATTTTTTTTTTCAAAAGTGGCTAGATTATATCCAGGTTTGTGTGTGCATTTGAACACACAAACCGACACATTTGCACACACAAACCATACCATAATGTACATGACAGTCACATTATGGTATGGTTTGAAAGAAACCTGTTTGACAGTTTGATTATCAGCACTGTTAATCAACCAAGTAGCAAGAATGAGGAAAAATATGCATGTACTGAAGACTTCCAGTATTATGTTAAGACATGCACACATTCCAAACTGCCTTGCACACCCTGTTTTTAAAGTCACAGTGTCTCAAGTATGAGCTCCTTGTTTTATAAACATTTAAATGAGTGTTTGTGTCAAAGAAAGTTATTAAGTTAGCAATTATACAACAGTACCCTATGGGTAAATATAAGACAAAATAAAAGTGCATTTGCATCCTCTATTAAAGTTCCTAAAACAGAAATCAGGGATATGTATATTCTTAAGTATAATGATAAACAAAATGCACTTTTATGAAAAATCAAAGCAAAATTGAAATGACCATATTTGACTTTGTCAAAAGCAGTGGTGCTATTAAGCATTACAGCTTGTAGAGACAAGTTGGAGCAACAATTGCTCCTTAAGGATAAATGAACAAAATCAAAATGTGTGGGATACACTGCCCTAAGCTCCCTCTTAAGGAAATACATTTATGAGGATTTCTTTAGGATACATTTTTTTATAACATTGGCAAGATTTTATTTATTTTTTTAAATCTTCTAAACTCCTTATTTGACTATATCAATTGTTAAGAGAGTTCAGTCTGATGCCAGCTTGAATGTTTTATGTATGTATTTAAAATCAAACGTGGTTGCCGTTGATGGAGCAGAAAGCTATTAGTGGAACCACAGTCTTTTATAGCTATGAATTAGGCATGCACAAGGCTGATAGGCTTGCAGTAGTGGAACATCAGAGGGCAACTGGATGAGAGGGGCTGATAAGTTTTCCAATGGAATTTTCATTTAAGCTTTATTGGAGTTGTTTAGGAGCAAAAAGAGCAGGTTCTTTGAAAAGAGCCAAACCTACCATCACCAGAACCTGGGAACTCATTGCTGCAGAGTGAAGGCGATCAAAATTGCATTTCTCAAATATTAGTGTTGCACATTTAAATTATATGTCTGATATCTTAATTAATAAAGCATGGGAATTACCTAATGGCCCATGCCTTTTTGCCACTTGCATTGAGAACCATGACCATGACTATCATTTCTTCCCTTGGCCAGTTTATGATGGATGCTGTGTTTGAGAATCAAATGTCCATGATGGAAGCTGGGGCAACTCCCCCTGACATCAAATTCCTGCAACAGAGTTTCCTTAAGAAGCTGAAACTCCATCCAAATGGTCGCCTGCCTGTGGTTTTCGGGCCTTGAAAGAGGAGACACGCACCGGTTCTCAGCTGAAGGTTCCGAGGAAGAGTGTGTGTTCGCTGGCCAAATCAGACTGCACCCTGCCTACATTCCCAAGGAGCTGAATATAGTGTTTTGATTTCCCAGCGTTTCAAACCAGATTTAACAGTTTTTTCTTTAACCTGCCTGCTGAGCAAATGAGAAACTACCCAGTTCGTGTGGCCGATCTACAGAACATTGCTGCTCAGCCGAGGAGCTAGAAGCCACCGAACTGTGACACACCAGTTCATTGTAAATTTCATTCCGTTAGCAAGACCTAAAATAAATATTCAGTGTATATGGCATTATGTTTCTTTTCCTACTTTTTAAGCTGATAGGGTAGTTTAGAATTCCCATGAGACTTTATTTGAGAAACAGCATGGACAGATTTGTCAGGTTTTACATGTTTATTTTTGACCTTTATGAATAAATAAAAAAATTTATTGTAGAAAGTGCATTAATATATTTAGCTTGTTGTGTTGCTATGAATAGCCACCCAGGTTAAAGATACTTAATAAATAAGTGATGTTACCAGTGTGAGCTGAAATACCCAGTTGTTACTGTGTGTCCTGTTAGCTAGGAATGTGCTGTGTTACTGTTCTTATCACTTCTTCCAGTAATAGGAGGTTTCCGTTCGAGAATTCCTCAGACAATAACAAGAATGAGGAAGAGACATCATTTTAAAACTCAATGCTCCAGTTCATTAAGACCACAAGGAACCAACCCCAGCTTTAAGGTAAGATCACAATATGGTGTGTGTTGCAAAACTGACAAATTTTAATTAAAGTATGTTCTTTGTTTACCTGTCTCTTAAGGCACACTGTTCCAATTTGGAACGCTAGGAGCACAGTAAATCAAAGTACTAAAACTTTTTTTTGTTTTTTGTATTGTATTTGATGCTAGATGCCGTTTTTACTTCTTTTTATGATGCTGTCAGCCTGTGCTGCAAGTCCACAGGGTAAGGCACATACAGTATGTTCTCCATTAAATGTCACATTTTGAACATTATATCCAAAGATAGGCATACTTTTCATGAACAAATATGATTAGGTTTCTTTAACAGATTACTTTTCTTAGCAAATAACTAGAGTAGAATATCCCTATTTAAAATGTCATGTGTTTTCATAGATCTGTCAGGAAAGATGTTTACGTTTCCACAAGAAACCAACACAGCTAGAGTCATGCTGAATACATCGGCAGATAATCTGAGTGCTGTAACAGTCTGCTTAAGGTAGTGTTACAAGAAAAAAATATGAGGAAATCTGAAGAAAAATAAACATACAATCGATTGTAATAACTGTACCCTTGTGTGTTGTTTGTTTTTCCCTGTTTTCTTTTTAACTTTTTTATAGGTCCTTCACAGACCTCAGTAGACACCACAGCCTTTTTTCTCTCGCCACACCGTCTTCTGATAATGGCTTTCTGATATTCAAAGACAATTCTGACAAAATTTCTCTCTATGTGGACAACAAAAAAGTAGAATATCTAGCCCTGGGCTATGAGTTGAATGTGTGGCACTCTATTTGTTCCACATGGGATGTTGAATCTGGATTGGGTCAGATGTGGCTCAATGGAAAGTCTTCACCTAGGAAGTTTCTCGGTGGATCACGGATTAGTCAACCAATTGTTATCTTAGGACAGGTATATTTATAGTATTCAAAGATTAATTTAGATAATTCAATATTTAAGGAATTGAGTCCATGTATTTGTTTCTTTATCATTTTGACTGAACTTTGTTCTTCTCTTTTAGGAACAGGACAGTTATGGTGGTAGCTTTGACACAGAGCAATCCTTTATTGGAATGATCTCCGATGTCCACATGTGGGACTATGTTCTTTCACCCTGTGAGATCCAGAGCTATGTGGATAATCTGAATTTCACTCCAGGGAACGTGTTAAACTGGAGAGCCCTTACATTTGATGTTATTGGAAGGGTGCTGATAGAAAACAGAATTCTGACATGCCACTAGAGCCACTTCCCCCCAAAAACTTCTGTTGAGACAAGTTTGACTTCTAAGGGGCAATTGTTATTTAGCTGTAAACATAACTAGACAACTGTGTGCAATAAAAGGGAATGTATTCAATTAGAAGAAATTTATAAAGAACAATAAGAATTATACAACTGCTTGAATTCTTGCAACATTGTAACATGGCTTTCTTACAGTCTACGGTTGTTCCAAGCAGTTTACCCATAAATAATCTTTTTCTTCTGTTGTTGAAATTTATGGCCTGTCTTTGTGTTTTTCTTTTTTTTTCTTTTTCTGAATATCCTTGGAAAGGAGAACAATTGCATTTTACAACCCCTATCAAGTTAGATACCTATCCAAGCTGCTGGGTAACTGTGTTTTTTAATAGGGGCTAAATATTTCAAAGTAGTTCATCATTTTATAAGCAATGTCTACTAAATTTTGAACAGACTGTAACATATTAAAACTTCACAGTTTGTACACCTACTTAAACCTTAATGCTAAAAATATAACCATGCTTGATTTTCCTTCATGTTTAAATAGTGTTTACATGAAAGTATTACATGTTTAAATAGTAAATAAATTTGTGAATTTGGGTAAAGGAGCTAAATGCTGAAGAAATGTATTTGCTTTTTATTGTTGCCAGGGTCCTTGGCGTATTAAAGTAAGCTTGGGGAAGATAGTACTGGGACTCTTGTAGCTCCTCCTTTTAGTTCTGAAAGTAAAAAAAATTAGCATCAGCTTAAAATTAAAATTACATAAGTGAATCTTTGATTAAAACCAACTGTGACTAGGTTTTTGGAACAAGAGATTTAATTATCTTAAATCTTCTTTGGATTTGATTGAATGTGTCCTGATTGTCATATAACTCTGCTTGCTGATTCTATTATAAAAAAAAAATAAAAATTTCTGTTGAAATAAAGGATATTATTGGTAACAAATATAATTATTTTTGTCTATGCTCTTAATGAACCCTTTTCTTTGTGTCAAACACATCCATAGGCACATGCAGGTGTTATTTAATGAAATTCTAATGATCTTTATTGGTGTTCATTTACTTCCTAATTTGTCTTACTACACAGCACTTTTGACTCTATCTTTGTTGACTCTTTGGTTTAAATGTCAGTTAAAATCTGCTTTGAGGCATCAATATGAATTATAGACCTTTATTAAGGGAGATATTAATACTTAGGATTTTCCCCCCATGTTTTAACCATAGTATGTTCAAATTAAAAAAACTAAAGCAAATTATGAAAACAATCCTGTAAATCTAACAGTCACATTTTGAAATACTGTCCTGTATAGAGACACAAAAATGTATAGTCTTTGATTCCATAGGTCAAAAATCTATTTATCAGACAAACTTAGTTTTCACTGGTCACATATCAAAACTAAGGTTATGTATAGTGTATCAGTATGTACATGTGTATGGAGGACCAATTTTGATATAATTAAAAATAATTAAAGGGGTCATAGAATGATTCTATAGGTTATTTGGTCTGGTCCTTAAGGTCTCTCAATAGGGTGTGTAACATTGGCTGGGCTGAAAATGGCATATTTGCTGTTCTATGCACCTTAATGCAAGCCTGGTTAAAAGCCCTATTATGAAACGACAGGTTTTCTTCCTTTTATGGTATGCTCATGAATATTTAGATGAGCTGTGCGCTGATTGGTTGGTTCACAACAAGTGAAGCTGCTGAGCAAAGATCTATCATGGCAACAAACATTAACATTAAATTTTCATTCACAAATATAGGCATATCTTATACTTGGAAGAAAGGAAATTCTTTAGCAGTGTACTTTGTTTCATGTTTTAGATTACTTTTTGGTTTAAACATTAAAGCTTTAGATGTCATTCTAGTGAATCGTTAATCTTTGAATCTAAAATAGTTATTGCAATATGAAACATATAGGTAGATCTTACTTTTATTTTGTTATTTGTGTTAGCTTGAAAAGAAAGCAACTATATTTCATAATAAACTGATATTCTATACCTCCCAAAGGCATTGTTTTTTCATACATTTGCCTCTAGGTGACTTTAAATAGCTCTATGAAAACAAATTAGTTAGTTAGTTTGAACAATCACTCCTGAAGAAATGCTCAATGCATAAGTTTAGAGGGGTAAGACTTGGATATGAGCAGTGCAACTGAACTAACCTGACTGGTACTCTAGTAAGGTAGCCTATTCTGACTTGTCCATAAGTATAATAAAATGCAGTTGGATTTCAAGCATTTGATCTTTGACATTAACTATTTTTGTAAAAGTTCTCATAATTCAGTTGTCTTGTGATGGACTGCAGAGCAAGGGTGGGTGGATCCCATCTCACAAATTTATGGATGGATGTTGCCAACAGCCTTTCCATGACCCATTGAGAATTTAGCAGGTACAAAAAGTGATGGCCGGACATTTAGTCTTTGTATGTCTAGCTACATAGATTAAACCAGAACACCTCTAAAGTGATGGTTAGGACAAATACATGTAGAAATTTACAGATGTATTTTGTTGCATAATTTAATGTTCTGATGCAGTATAGTTGAAAAACTCTTTTGTGCCAAACACTTTTACTGCAATATTCCTTTTCATTCTGAACTAAACTTCCAAGTTAACATTTTAAATTATTACATGTCTCTTATTTTATCCATACGTAGCTACATTAACATTTTTAAAGACACATAAACTAGATCTACATACGAGAATCATGCAGTAGAAGATCCTTGGATTTGCTTGAACCTCAGAAGGTTAATATCCCTGTGTTGTATTGTATGTAATATAATGTTGTATTATAAGGGTAATATATTAAGCAATTTTTTATAGGACACACAGGGACTATGGAGGACCAACTCTGTCATATTTAAAAATAAATACAGAAATAAATAAATGCCCAATAAATAAATAAGCATACAATTAATTGCCACCAAAAATACAATAAACAAATAAATGTAATTAGAAATTAAATTATACAGTGAGACGTAAATGTATATAACTCTTTTAATTAGCTTCTTTATTTATTTGCCTTTGTAATATTTACCTTATTTACTTTTTTGTCCTTTATAATCTTCAACTTTATTTTTTAATTACTTACATTTTGAAGTACTTATTTATGTGCATGTTATAATATTTTTGTCTGTTATTTGAGGCGAGAACATTATACTTTTAAGCATCTCCATATGGCCCATTCACAGGTTTAATGCGTAATTTAAAAGAAAATGTTCCAAACTTGAGAGGACCGCGGCACCAGCGGAGCTCCGAAGCTAACGGCAGCCCGTCCACAGCTGCTCTCTCGGCATAGCCATGTGTGAAGGACCGCTGGCTATGATGGTTATTTTTTGTTGTATTTGGCAAAGTCCCTAATCCCGTTCTAATGACTTCAGTCTTGACTTCAGACTCTGCTCCTGTAGATTCGACCGATGTAGTAAAATGCTAACCAACACGCTTCACACACTGCTATGCCGAGAGAGGGACGCTGCAGACGGGCTGCCGCTAGCTTCGGAGCTCCGCTGGTTGCCGCGGTCCTCTCAATTTCGGAACATTTTCTTTTAAATTACGCATTAAAGGAAAATTCCGGTTTTTAACACTTTTAGCCCATTTTCTGTAGTGTCCAGGATGAAATCGAATGATCGACACCAAAATTTTGACAATTGGTCCTGTCTCTGCTATTTGGCTCATGCAGAATCCCCCCTGGCTGCTTCAGAATGGCTTCCATAGTGCATGTCCGATAATGTCCTTAAAACAACCTTAAACGTACTTTTTTTTAAATATGCTACTCACCGGGTCGTCAGCGATGTTCAATGACGTTCCAAAAAAAGTTTCGTAAAGAAAAAACGTTCCTGTAGTGTTTTATTTAGCATTTTGTAAATCCCATTGAGTTCTGTTGGAATAGTCAATATCCCTCCGCCACCGGAAACGGAAATGGGGCCTCTTTACGCTAAGTTGTAGTCTTTTCGCAAGGCCCAAGTGTTTCTGCTTCACTCTGTGTACTCTGACGTCGAGGTGCTAACGTCTCTGTTAAACACTTTAAAAAACTCTGAAAATGGAATACGAAAGGTGGATTCTTGAGGAGGACATATTGGACTTTGAGTTTGACGGTAGAGGATACCGTCGCCAACTAGTGGTCTGGAGTGTGCAACGCTTCAGATTCGAACGGGAAGCGGAAGTTTATAAGCGGTTGTGATGTATCGGAAAAAATAGTTCTGGGATTTACAAAATGCTAAATAAAACAAGACAGGAACGGTTTTTCTTCACAAAACTTTTTTTGGAACGTCATGGAACAGCGCTGACGACCCGGTGAGTAGCATATTTAAAAAAAAAGAACGTTTAAGGTTGTTTTAAGGACATTATCGGACATGCACTATGCAAGCCATTCTGAAGCAGCCAGGGGGGGATTCTGCATGAGCCAAATAGCAGAGACAGGACCAATTGTCAAAATTTTGGTGTCGATCATTCGATTTCATCCTGGACACTACAGAAAATGGGCTAAAAGTGTTAAAAACCGGAATTTTCCTTTAAATCTGTGAATGGGCCATATGGAGATGCTTAAAAGTATAATGTTCTCGCCTCAAATAATCTTAAAACGTACTTTTATTGAACAACAGCAACAGAAAAGAGAACATTTAACTTAGTACTCAGAGCTCTGTGAGTTAAGAAGATGGTCCGCCAACCAATGAGCAGAAGTTGACTCTCTAGGACACACCCCCTTCTCATTTGCATAATGAGGCAGAATTGCATACAGTAATGTAAAAAGGGCAGGCAGAAATGTAAAATGGGCAGGCAGAAATGTAAAAAGGGCAGACAGAAATAAATAGCGGTGTACAAATAACTAAGGTAAAAAAAATACAAAGGAAGAATAAAACAGATAAAAATAATATAACATGCACATAAATAAATACTTAAAAATGTAAGTAATTAAAAAATAAAGTTGAAGATTATATAGGACAAAAAAAATAAATAGGGTAAATAAATATTACAAAGGCAAATAAATAAAGAAGCTAATTAAAAAAGTTACAGACATTTATGTTTCACTGTATAATTTAATTTCTACTTACATTTATTTGTTTATTGTATTTTTGTTGGTAATTAATTGCATGTTTATATATTTATTGAGCACTGATTTATTTCTGTATTTATTTTTAAATATGGCAGAGTTGGTCCTCCATACAGGGACATCTCCGCTGAATAACTTTTCTTTTTCTTATCTGAACAATTGAATTTACCCTTTTTCACTGTTTTTTAGTCCTGGACAAAGACAGTCATGGCTCAAACCATTTTGATGTTTAGCTATAAATTTATAAATGCATTTCTCTGCACAGTCTTCAGTTCCACGGATTAATATACGTTCTTAAAGTCGCTACAGATTAAAAAAATCTAGTTTATACATAGATGAGCTGATAAGAATTGCTGCTCAAAAGTCAAACTCACTGACATGTTTGTGAGCTATTATTCAAAAATTGCATAGTAATTATGACAAAAGTTCCCTCTCAGGGGCCTAATAAGATGCCAAAATGAAGTGAGCAGGGGATGTATCTCAGCAGTAGACAACGTGCTTTGCATTTAAAAAGCTCAAGATCCCTGATCCAAACAACCTCCTTGTCAGAAAAGTGCCTCAAAAAGAGAAGGTGTCATTTAGTTTGTTTGCATGAGGCACTTGCTTTGATAAATACAGCTGTGCTTTGATTGAAAGGGTTCAGTTTATAAAATCCTTATTGCAGACTATCTTATGGAAAGTGTGCTAATATTTTTTTCCACACTTAGACATGTACGCAAATAGATTTCTCAAGGGCAAAAAGTAACAAATTTCTAATGAAATAATTTATTTCTTAAATTATGTGTTTTATAATTT